AATGTAATTGTATTAAAGGATACTTACATTGATAATTGTATAAGAAAATATAAATAAATTATTCGCTAAAATAATATATCTTACATTAGATTTTTTGTCGCGAAACATATGTCTTCCATTATATTGTGTAGTTTGTCACACTTTATGTATAAATATGTATTTGTATATTACCGGCCAAATGGAGAAACACTGGTCGAGACCGGAAATGGTAGACCAAGACTAAGACCCCTAAGACCCAAATGGGGTGGTGGAAGATGTAGAAATCCTCTAGTAGGAGTAACTAGCGGTACTCCAGGAGCGGTTGAAGATGCCTGACATCCCGCTGATGTCCCAGGATAAGATGGTGGCATCGAACATGATCTTAAGGCTCGACGATGTTGCCTTCGCATTCGTCTCTCTCTTCGACGAGCACCGCGAGCATCGAGATCTTCGAGCGCTTCTGAAGCACCTTGCAATGGGAGTTCCGTTTGTGCTTCCGTTGAAGTAAAAGATCGTGCATTGTCACGAGATTCCTAGAAAGTTATGCAAAATTAAATTTCAGTTCGTACATATTTCTTGTAAATTTTATTTTGACTATTTGTTTTGATGTGAAGAAATTTGAATTTTTTCCAAAATTCTTTGCTTTATGTATAGAAAGCAAAGTCTATTATAGTTAATCTATAATATATATATATATATGATCTATTATAGTATATTATAGTTTGATAAAATTTTTACAATCATTCTAAAATTTTAGTTATAAACATTGTATATTTTTTTATAAGATTTCGTGTAAATAATGTTGAAAATAGAAATATAAAATGATTCTTTTTGTTTTTCAAAAAAAAAATTGTCTAATTTTATTTTTCTAATTTTTATGGAAAAAACAATTTCTAGCGATTGAGAATAAATTTTAATTGATTTTAATGTATTAAAATGTATGATAATATTTTTTGTGCTTTTTAATTTATTTATTTATTTTTTTTTTTAAGATGAATTATCAATACGAAAAAAGAGGGAAATAGAGGAGAAAACCATTTTTTAATATAATTATTGATTCTAATTAATAAAAGGCAAAAAAAATTATCATCTTAGAATAGGAAAATAAATAATAAATTATATCTAATGTAAGCAAATAAACATAATGAAATCATTTCATATATTTGATTATTGTATTTGATTGAAATTTGATTTCAATTACAAATACAATATTAATAGACTACAATATAGTTATTATATAAATAATAAGCTATTGTAAATCCTATTGAAATGAATGATTTTATTTTATTTTGTTAGTTTATTAAAACCATAATTAACATAAATACAATCACTATTTGATTATATTTAATAAAATAGAATGAGAATCAAAATTTAGCATGGGAATGAAATATAAATCTTGGCGAAATTCTTTTATTTATTCCGAATACCAAATATTTTCATTTCATACTTTTTATATTTGATTTTGTAAAGATTTATTTTATAATTTTTTCATATATTTCTATTGAATTATTTTATATACGAAATATGATATGATATTTATTATTATTAATATAATATTATTAATTATTTATTATTTATAATATATTTACTTAGATTTTTGATTGTATAATTTATACAATTTTATAATAAAGAATAATTGATAATACAATTAATGGACTGATTTTATATATAAAAATAAATTGAAAAAAAATGAAATTTTTTGTATAATTTCATTTTTTAAAAATTTACTTTAAATATAAAAAGATATAATTGGTTAATTTCTGATTAGATATCAGTAAATAACCGTTAGAGTTATTTTACACATGAAAAGTTTAAAAAAAATTTTATCTTTTAAATTCAGAATGTTTTTGAAGAAATTAAAAATTGAATATATACAAAAAGTAATTACGTAATTTTCAAATTCGATTTTCTTGAAAATTAGTTTTAGAATGAAAAAATTTTGTTCTATATTTTTTGCTTTCTATATTTATAATAATTATCTATTTAATAATAGATAATTTACTTGTATCTAATCAGCCAAAATTAGCTAATTTCATAACAATTAAAAAGTTTCCGATTTATTCGAAAATGAAATCATAAACAAAAAAATTTTATTTTTTCATATATAGCAAAATCACAACCTGTAGATACTTTGATAAACATTCTGTATACGAATAAAAATCAAAATAAAGAAATATTTCTAAGAAATTTTTAATGTTTTATTATTCTTCTAAATATAATTTATTTTTTACAATTCAAAACTGTTTTTCAATATTAAAAAAAACTTATTATTTATTTTTTTATTAACTAGAAGGAAATATTAATGCTCATGTGAAGTTACGATAGCAACTTGAATTTTTATTTGCATATTTATATGATACTAATATGACATTCTGCAAGTTTCACTCGAAATTGTTTAGTATTCTATATCTACACTTTCGCTCGTACTGCACTTTTCCATTCTAATCATGATTTCTGTTTCTTGTTATGTAATAAGAAAGTCTCTTTTAACCTTTAAATTGAATATATAGAGTATCTATCGCAATAAATGATCAACTTTTGTTATCATATTCTTCTATTTTTCTTATACTTATTACTAGTAAATTTTTTTATTCTAGATTCAATTTTTTTTTATATTTATCTTGCTTTCTGAAAAATTTTCGATTTTTATTAAATTTCTTTTTTAATTTTTATTTTTATAATATGAACATATTTTATATTTCTATATTTCGTGATTAATTCTATTGATATTTTCAAGTTTACAATTACAAATTTTGAAAATATCTTTATTATCTTTCATAGATAATAAAAATGTTCTTTTTTAAAGATATAAATATTACTTGTTATTTTATTTATGGTGAAATATTAAACAAATTTTTAAAATTCGCTTAAAATGTATTATGAAATATAAATATCAACATTTCATTACTAACAACATTCATATATATTTATAAATGTTCAGTTTTATAATTATATATTTAGTCATTTATATATTTAATTAACATGATTAATTATTTTTATAATTAAAAATTTAAATAAAAATTAATTATTAAAAAATAAAATAATTTTGATTAAAAAATATTTAATAAATAAAGAATGATAATTTTGCTTCTAATTCTTGTGATAAATTCTTGTCTTTCAAATATTATAATAATTAAAATCTAATTTAAAGAAAAATTGATAATAAAAATATTACTAGATATATATATTAAATTTAAAAAAAATATTACTAATATTATAAAATTATTAAACGGTATTTTAAATATAAATATAAAATAGTTATTATATATAACATACAAAACAGTTATTATTTAAGATATTATTTAACTATAATTTGATTATTTATATATTTGAAATATTATTACAATATATTAATATGCTATTTCTTTACAGAATATATATATTCTTTACAAAAATTATTTAGGAAAAATAAAGTATATAAATATTTTTTTAATGGTTGATCAAAAAAATTTATTAATTATAAAAGAGAAAAATATGCATTAACTCTTAATAGAAAAAAAATTTTTTAGTATATACATATAATTAAAACATATTGAAGCTTGGTAAATATTTAGAAAGTTGAAAAGAATATTCAATGTTTTAAGACATTGCAACAGATGCAGACTTATGAAAACAAAATATATATAAAAATTTAGCATTTAACAATCTATGCATGAAATAAAAATTTTTGAAATATTAAATAATAACTTCTTAATTTTATTTAATTTGATTTTGTTATTTATTTAATTAATTTAATTATTTAATTAACTCGTTACATAACTTTTGTTTAATTAAAAACAAAAAATGAATAATTTTAATTAAATAATTGAAATTCTTATAAGATATAAAGAACAAAATTAAAAACAAATTGATAACATAGAAAATTACGAAAAAATATTGCAAATATATCATACAATATACATTTTTTATATAAAATTTTAAAATGATAATGAATAATAAGCTAATTAAAAAAAGTCTTAACTAAATATTTTTTTTAAAACTTGTACATGTATCTATAGCACAGATATAGCATGTTAATTTATAGAAAATTAATGAAATATTTAGTATTGGTTTAAAATTATTTAAAATACACATATTAAAAAAATTAAATTGACATTTTGATAAAAAAAGTAAAATCATAATTATTTAATATTCATCAAAGTATTATTATATATTATTTTGTTTGTCATAAATATATATCATGATTTAATATTCTAAACGATGCATATATTGAATCATATTGTGTATACTATATCATGTAACTAATGATTACAACATTCAAAACCATCAAAGAGCTAAATAGAAAGTAACATAATTTCACAAGTTTTTTTCATAATTTTTCATAAATAAATAAATTATTATATATTAAATAATAATAATTTAATATAATATTATAAATAATATATTATTAATATATAATAATTAATATCATAATTATATATATCTTTTAAAGTTATTTATTATTTATTTATAATTATTTATTAATACATATTAAAACATATTTTATAGTTAATAATACAAATATTTTTTAATTATGATTACTTATAATTAACTTAATCAAATAACATTTAAAAGTTTCTGACAAAATAAAACAAGAAAGATTATTTTAACTACATCTAACAAAATATATGAAATATATGCTATTCATATTAATTTTATGTTAATTAAAACAAATATTTAATCTTAATATCTTTCATATGTTATCGGAAAGCATATTTATAGTTTTCATTTTAAATTTCGTTTTTAATTTGTATCTTATGATATTTTTAATTATCTTTTAGAATCAAAATTATATTTTTGAGTATAAAAACAATTACAAAACTAAAATCATGATAAAATAAAAATATTATCGCCGAAAAAAATCTTCTGCACTATTATTCTTGTTTACTGTTTACTGTGATGCTTAAAATATGTATAATATGGAATAAAAATTTCAATTTTTATATTGTAAAACATACTTACATTATCAATAACTATAAATGTTATATGAGAACTTATAATATGTTAATTATAAAATTAAAAAAGAAATATGTAAAAAGTTATAGATATATTATAATGATATTGATTATAAAGCTTTTTATTTTTTATTTTTTATTTAATAATAAAATAGAATTATAGAATTAATTGTTAAACGAATAAATGTCCCATATTATCATAATATATATATATATATATGATAATAATATATTTTAATAATGACGGTATTTGTATTAAATCTATAAATCACTTCATATTTTCAGAAAAAAATTCATGCACAACAGACATATTATCCATTTATTTTTCAGATAATATATCAAAATATATTATTGAATATGAATCGAATATATTATAATATATATATATATTATATATGTATTTATACATACTTAAAATGTACAATATATCGAAATGTTACAATATGCTGTAAAAATTTCCAATATTATTTTTTTTCACTATAAATTGATAGAAAAATTATTATTAGTATAACAAAAATAATTTAAAAAATGAGAAAATTTTATAAAATAAAACGAACTTAAAATTAAATTTGATAAATAATAAAAAATATTGACAATAA